CAAAAGTAACGGGTGCTGGTAATGACTGCGGATGGCGCTGCTCACAACAGAACAACAATACAGATGTCTCCAGCACACCGGCACCAAGATCCCATGTTACTGCAAAATCCATTTGATTGGTAGTTGTCATGCCTAAGACAAGCGCTTTCTGGGCCGGGTCCCCTTCATCAGGCTCAGAAATTACATTCTATTATGTCCATATAAAAGTTGTGGCCCTTTTATGTAATGCTATTTCTGAGCCTGATGAAGGGGACCCGGCCCAGCCCAGAAAGCACTTGTCGTTTGAATGACATCAATAAAATGGATTTGCAGTAACATGGGATCTTGGTGCCGGTGGTGCTGGTGCCGGTTTTGGAGTTCAGATATGTACTATGGCACATAAAAGATGCTCCCACAAAAGATGTCACAGGTTACTTGTGGCATTTTTTATGGGGGCACGTTTTATGGTACCACGGAGGAAATAGAGGAGGGAGGGAGAGTCGAGGAACAGGAGACAGCGCCACCTGGCGTCCGCCGCAAGAAATGAAGGTATAATGCGGCATTGTAATGTTTGAATCATGTGCCCGGGCGGGAGGTGGCCACAGACCCGGGCACGTGATTCCAAACCCGGGTTGTACGGGTGAAACCCGTACGGGTGGCAACCCTAGGTGCGCACTATTCTTATACACAAGGGTCATCAGTAATACGGGGTGCGCACTATTCTTATACACAAGGGTCATCAGTAATATGTGGTGCGCACTATTCTTATACACAAGGGTCATCAGTAATATGGGGTGCGCACTATTCTTATACACAAGGGTCATCAGTAATATGGGGTGTGCACTATCCATATACACAAGGGTCATCCGTAATAGAGGCTGTGAACTATCCATATACATAAGGGTCATGCGTAATAGAGGCTGTGCACTCTCCATATACACAAGGGTCATGCGTAATAGAGGCTGTGCACTCTCCATATACACAAGGGTCATCCGTAATAGAGGCTCTGCACTCTCCATATACACAAGGGTCATCCGTAATAGAGGCTCTGCACTCTCCATATACACAAGGGTCATCAGTAATATGGGGTGTGCATGTCTCATGTATGTATTAGAACCGTGCACAGACAGTATGTGGAGCGTACATCCCCCCCGAGGTCTAGTATAGTACATAGATGTATAGCACGAGTCCCCCGCCATGTGCCCTCTCTACAGTGGAAGGCGGGACACACACTACAGTAGTACTAATGTGCCATAGCGGTGGGAGTGGCAGGGAGCCGTCCACGCTGCAGCTCACACACTTCCAGTGACCAGGCCTGCACCAGCACTACCTGCGTGGGGGTGAGCACATGGCCCAGCTCCTCTATGACCAGCGACCCGTAGCTGACACTAAGCGGCTGCAGCGGCTTTTCGTCCACCTCGTCCAGGGCCAGAGCCCCGCACCACTGGGACACGTCCACCGGCATCCTGCTCTGCTATGCTAGTATGCTGCGCCACTGTTACTAAGCCCAGCAACACAAGAACGGGGCGGGGCCGCGCACGCACGCCTACGCCTGACGCGCGGCCAATAGCAGAAATGGGCGTGCACCGGCGCTGTGGTTCTATTGGCGGACGGAGATCACCCGTGTGATGGTCCAGTCCCCCCGCAGCCTGCGGAGAGTGACGGCTGGAGAAGGTGTTTCACATGTTCAGCCAGACACCATTAGTGTTGTTATTGCCGAGTGGGAGTGGGCTGTGCGGGCTCAGGAGATGCATGGCAAATCAATGGTTGTGTTCTGCAGAGGGGCTGCACCGTGCCCACAGCACAAAGCACATCACTAACCACTATCATTCCCCGATCACTGTCCTTAGGAACACCGTGTAACCCAACAATAGTCCTTCTGAAATGTCATGCTGATCCTCTGGCTTCAGCGTTTTCAGTCTCTGATCTTGAGCTAGTCTGCATGTAAAATGATTATTATTATACAGGATTTATATAGCGCCAACAGTTTGCGCAGCGCTTTACAACATATGGGGAGACAGTGCCATTACAATACAAAAGGATTAGAAGGACACTTGCTGGTGAGAGCTTACGCTTTAGTGTGCAATCTTCCAGATCAATGATAGCCGGGGTCAGCATATGAGCCAGTTGACTAGCATTTTCAGGAGATCAGCAATGTTCTGTTTGCACTTCTTTGAGTGTTCTGTTACATTCATTATGAATGGGCTGTCAACGCGCCACAACAGACCAATCGGCATATATGCTCATTTTGTTTCAGTGCAGTGTGTCATCGTGCGGTAAGTGTGTTGTGGTGCTCCGTTGTGCATTGGCTACTACTGTACAGCGCGGTGGGATGTTATTTACTATGAATGGCACTGAAACGCACTGCACATTGATTAATGCACTGTGCATTAACACACGTTCTAGTAGCTGTTATTGTAATGCCTAGATCTGAATGGTCCCTTAGGCTGGGCTCATGATTCTGTGTTGTGGTAACATGCAGCAATGTGTGTTGTGGTGCAATGCAGCACTAAAACTGTGCACACACCTGCAAGGCAGTCTATTCAAATAAAAGGCTGCCTTAACCTAACGCATGCTTGTCTGGATCTGACCTATGTGACCATACAGGAATACACACAGGGCAATTCTAAAATTTAAAGAGTTGGTGACTCCCCCTTACTGGTTTTGCATGGCGTCATCCATTGCTGTCAGTACAGACACCATCCAGCTACACAATGCAGCCCAGAACTATATTGGAGTTCTGACTTCACTTGCTGCATGCTCGTTCTGGATTAGTGACCCAACACAATAAAGCCAGAAACAGCCAGACATCTAGCATTTTCAGGAGGAGCTCAGCACCAGCATCCTTCATAATCTGTCCATAATAACTCAGTACTTCCCTCTCCCTTCACCTCTCTACTACTTTGTGGGATTTATTCTACACCCCAAATTCAAAAAAAGTTGGGACGCTGTGTAAAATCTCCATATAAACAGAATGCAATGATTTGCAAACCATATAACCCCATATTTTATTCACAATAGAAAACATATCAAGTGTTTAAACTGAGAAAATGGACCATTTTAGGAAAATAATAAGGTCATTTTGAAATTGATGGCAGCAACACGTCTCTGTTTTCCACGATGTACCATCCCCTCTTCTATTACAAAACACTCTGTAAATGTCTGGGAAGTTTTGGGAGAGGAATGTTGCCCCATTCTTGCCTGATATAGGATTCTAACTGCTCAACAGTCCTGGGTCTTCTTTGTCGTATTTTACATTTTAAGATATGCCAAATATTTTCAGTAGTGAAAGGTCTGGACTGCAGACAGGCCAGTTAAGCATCCAGACTCTTCTACTACTGTATGAGGTTTAGCATTGTCCTGCTGAAATATGTAAGGCCTTCCCTGAAAAAGACGTCTGGTTGGGAGCCTATGCTGCTCTAAAACCTGAATATATCTTTCAGCATTGATGGTGCCTTTCCAGATGTGTAAGCTGCCCTTTCCACACGCACTAATGCACCCCCATACCATCAGAGATGCAGGCTTAACTGAGCGCTGACAACAAGCCGGAAGGTCCCTCTCCTCTTTAGTCCAGAGAATGAGATGCCCATGGTCACCAAAAAGGATGTCAAATTTTTATTTGTCTGACCACGGAACAGTTTTTACACTTTGCGACAGACCATTTTAAATGAGCTTTGGCCCAGATTAGATGGCGGCGTTTCTGGATCATGTTCAGATATGGCTTCCTCCGTGCATGATTGAGCTTTAACTGGCATTTTTGGATGGCATAACGAACTGTGTTCACAGACAGTGATTTTTGGAAGTATTCCTGAGTCCATGCAGTGATGTCCATCACACAATCATGCCTGTTTTTAATGCAGTGGCGTCCAAGGGCCTCAAGATCACAGACATCTAATATAGATGATGATATATTTAAAGTCTTTGCAATTTTACGTTGAGGAACATTATTCCGAAATTGTTGGACGCAGCTTTTCACAGATTGGTGAGCCTCTGCCCATCTTTACTTCTGAGACACTCTGACTCTCTAAAGCTGGCCATACACTTTACAACCATCGCAAGACTTTTGTCTTGCGATGATTGTAAGCTAATTAAAAGCTCGTACAATCTGCCCATCTTGGACAGGCAGATCGTACTTGCGATCTTAGCAAGCCCGCCCCGCTGAGTGGCAGGCTTCCGATGACTGCAATGCTGAGCGGGCAGTGTGCGCTTGCGCACACCGGCCAGTTCGGCATTTGTCTCCCGAGAACGCCACTAACCTGGCAAAAATCGTACGATTCTCGGTACGTTTTCAAGCCTGCTCGGGAGACAAAAGACGTGCGACCGTACAGTAGAAACGGTCGCACGCCTTCCATACACCTGCCGATTATCGTACGATCGTGGGATTTCCCGCGATTATTGTACGATAATCGGCAGGTGTATGGGCACCTTAAGATGCCCAATCATGTTACTGACCTGTTAACAATTAACCCAATTAGCTGCAAAATCTTCTTCCAGCTCTTCCTTGTTAGTACCACTTACTTTGCCACCTTTTTTTTGCCCTGTCCCAACTTTTTTGAGAAGTGTTGTTGAAATCAATTTCAAAATGACCTTTTTTTTTCTTAAAATGGCCCATTTTCTCAGTTTAACCTCCCTGGCGGTCTGATTATCTCAGTATTTTTTCATTTTTTTTTCCTATTTTTTACTTTTGAATTTCCCGCCAGTTTAGCCCCCCTGCGACACCGGCGCTCACAGGGAAGGAACCCGGAAGACGGATGCCAGCATCGGCCGGAGGACACAGCGGGGCTTGTAGGGACAAGGTAAGTGACGCTACAGTGTAATCCTGAGTGTGGCTCGGGGTTACCGCTTTTGGTACTCAAAATTAACCCCGAGCCACACTCGGGACTACCACCAGGAAAGGTTAAACACTTGATATGTTTTCTATTGTGAATAAAATATTGGTTTATGAGATTTGCAGATCACTGCATTATGTTTTTATGTAGATTTTGCACAGCGTCCCAACTTTTTGGGAAATAGGGTTGTAGTTTACCAATTTGATCAGGACCATTCACATTATTCCACTGTGGTGACACCCAATACAACATATAGGAAAGGGTTAAAAACATTTTATTGATGTGTCCCCTTTTATCCTGGTGACACCTTAACAATCGGCTGCTGACATTTTGACCCTGGCCCTGATAAAGTGCAGTGTTTAGATTTAACCCTTACTCTGCCAGAGGCAGTTGAACCCATGCAACATAACTTCCTGCATATTTTCCCCGCACGTCCTACATATACTAACATACAGCATTCAACTTCTATAAGAGGCTGTACACAGCACCTGTAACTCCTTCATGGGGAAAATACACAGGGGGTTACACTGTACAGGTTCAGCTGGCCGTGTTCAAGGTTGTGCACCTGCGCGCATGCTTGCGTTTTACACAAGTCCGTTATATACCAGCACACAGCCATTGACTTCTATGAGAGACTGTACCTGTGACGCCCTGGTTCAGCCGCCTGTGTGCATGAGCCCTACAGCTGTACCCTAATTAGATACAAAACACCAATTCGCAATTATCCTGTATATACATTAAAACAATTCAAATTCTTTCTAAATGCAGCTAGTTTAAGTATCTGAATTTGCCTTTGTATTGGTTTCTTGCAATTTCCCGTACAGCAGCGCTCAGACTGGGAGAGTGAGGGGCAGCACTGAAAGCCTATCAGGTGTGCTGCATCCAAATATACTGACAAGGAACATGCTAGTAGAAGGAGAGAGCAGAGTGGGCAAAAGGGTAAACTACTACTTCTCTGGGCCCGTTCACGCCATAGTGTTGTCTACATGATTTAGGCCTGCAGGGTGGAACAGAGAGAGAGTAGGAGACGCGGGCCACCAAAAAGGTGAGCATAATATTTCTTGTATTGCAGGCAACTGGTTTTAGGATTATGTTGAGACTTGACAGAGTTGCTTTAAAATAAGTAAATATGCATTCTGCGAACTCCCAGGTCACCCCTACCATACATGAATGGGTGACAGAAATGGTGTTATAAAGGTGTTATAAAATGAGAATAGAACAAATAACAGCACATGGAATATACAGTAGCAGTACAATATGTGCCATTGGACCCATTTGACCTCTCTTACCCATGCCTCCTGCCCTGTCACTGGTCTCTTGGACTGCTGTGTGATGGATCTTCTTCTTCTGCTCTTTCCTTTCTATTACCTTGTACCTGTTTTTTTAAACACTGCCCCGTTTCCCTCAGCCCTCCTTGAGTCCCAATGGAGCAACCTTCGGATATTGGCTCCTCTGACTGACTTGTTATCAGTTATGGGACGCTAAACAATTTTTTGAAAGCAGAATTTATGAAACATTTTTCAAACAAGTAGAAACCACAAACATAATGACAAGTCAATGGCAACCCCATAGAGCTGGCCGATAAAACATGACATAAAGGTATGTGTAGGTTATCAGTAGGTAATAGAGTCAATTGTAAAAGTCGAACAATAAAGTGCTTAGACTAGATAATGAAACAACATAATATCAGAAAACACAAGAAGAAGAGAAAAGAGGGAAAGAGGCAAAGCAGGATGCTGAACAATTTTGATAGTCATACCACACAGTCCTCCCATGTATATGTGTATGGATGTGCTGTACTGTTACCTTTGTATCTTCCTACTTCTGTGTTTTTGTATTTGAAAATCTGCAATAATCCTTTATAATTTAAAAACAAAATAAGTAAATATGTTTTAAAAGTAAAAATATATGTTCAAAAAATATAGCTCGTTAGACCTGTACATCTCAGTTTGGAGGTGTCTGGGTTTTTTTTTTAGAATAGACAAAAGTCTATGGAATCTTATTAGGATGTAGTACCCATCATGGTAGGTAGTGCTATGTACTTTGATATTTAGACTGCACTCCTTCAGCAGTAAAACATTTCATTCTGCAAATAGGATTATAAGAATCAAAACGTAACCACACGGAGTAACCAAAGATACATACCAAACAAGAAACCAGCTTAATACAAACATTCGACTGAAAAAACAGGAAGATCCTGTTATGTGTTCTTGTATTATTGTGAATACCGTATATACTCGAGTATAAGCCATCCCGAATATAAGCCGAGGTACCTAATTTGACCAAAAAAAACCTGGGAAAAAGTATTGACCCGAATATAAGCCGAGGGTGGGAAATGAGGCAGCTACTGGTAGATAGATACCAATAAAATTACATGAATATTTATTTAGGAAGGGTTTTTTTGTACAGCTTTTTTTATTCATAGTATATAGTACTATTTATTATGGGACTGAAAAATGTTTTTTATAATAAATGCTACACATAAGCACACATCATTTCTTGCAAAGGTCATATTTCTAAGTGGAAAAGGGGATCCTGACCTGATCCCCTCCTTTAATAAGGTACATTCAAACAATGGCTCACAAGCTGTTGTGGAACAAAAGATTCCCATATAGGGATATAGGTTCTACATCTGTTGTTACATCTGTTGTATGTGCTCTGGTGGCTACAGGGTAACAGTTTTTCTTAAATGGGCTGAGCATGCAGAAAAAATTGTAAAAGCTCCACTCCAGCACAAAAACATTCATTCAAATATATTATTTCATAGCCACAAAGCACATATATTCAATGTGTATGCACCAAATGCCTTTAAAAACCTAGATACAGTATAACCTTTGAAAACTAGTGGTGACACCATTTTTGTGCTGTACATAGCCTGTGCAGAGACCCAGCAGGCCCACCCACTACAGACTGACTGCAGAAAACTACAGGAGGGGCAGATACAAGACCAGTTACCCTGTACAAGGAGAGAGAGCAATACTGATTGGTCTTTGTTACAGGAAGCTCCTGCACAGTGGGTAGGTTTTAAGGCCCTTTCACACAGGCGCAGGGCCGGTGAAGGTGTATTTTTGCGCCTGTTGCCACACGTGGTGCCTCTTGTAGTCGTCACTGGGCAGGATCACTGCATCGGGTCTCGGTGCTCAGCTTGTGGGAGGCGCTCACAATTCTTCCCTGCTAACATGAATAGGTTAAATCATGATCCATAGTACATATAAGCACACACGTCCAGTACACTGCAGTAATAGAGTTACAATTATCCCCTGCTAACATGAATAGGTTAAATGATCTGTAGTACAACTACATATTATGTACTATTATGTACTATGGATCTATGGGCACTGGTACTATTGAGGGACCCAGGGCCGCAGATGGTGTTATGCTCCGCTCAGGGCCCCATTCTGGAGCGGAGTGTGGGGGGAGAGGACTCTGAAGGTACCTTGGCACTGGCATAGACCACTTAGGAAGAAAGTACCCAGAGCAGAGCCTTCTATATAGGACTGGAAAGAGGATAGCAACTTGCACCCTGGGCACTGACAGTGAGTTATCTGTTCTCACATGGGCAGTCTACCTGCCTGTGCCAGGCAACACTAGGTCTGGGGCAGCTTGCAGCCCTAAATGTGCCCAGGCACCAGCTTGCCATTGTAGCGTCCCCAGCAGCAGCAGGGTGTCAAGCTGCTACTGGCACAGTGACAAATCAGAACTGTGTATTAAAGGCTGATGTGTTATTATAATGGAAGCAGAGAGTGGTCTTGTACTGATCATATGTATTCCTGCAAGACATCTTAGTTCCTCTTGGCCCATCTCACAACTGGCGGCTAGGTGATTTAGTTATGGCTAAAGATTTCTTCCATTAAAGTACACCTAAACCCAAAATCATAATGCAATATAATGCAGATTACCAGACCCACTGGGAGAACTACCAGGGTCGCAGCGGTCGTATATCTGACCAGGCTCAGGTCCAGGCGTTCTGCCACATGGGGGGGCTGGAAAGAAGGAAGAGGGCCCTAGTAACTAGTAACAAAGCCAACTTTGCAGGTTAACGGGCCCCCCTTCCTTCAGTCTAGAGCCCTCCATCCTTTAGACTGTGCCTCACTTTATCTGAGCTCAGTATGAAGGAGGTTCTGATGCGGCAGGCAGTGAATTTTATTTTATTGTATATATAAAAAAAAAAGAAATTATGTTTTTTTTATGGGGGTGGTGGATGGGGCGCTTCATGGTTTCTTGCACTGGGGCCCTGAGGTTTCTAGTTACACCTCTGGCGGGCACCATGTTATTAATCATTGAGCCGGTGGAGAGATCACAAAGATCTCTCTGTGACCGGCTCAGCGATACAAACACTTGCCACTTACATTCGTTACATAACAGCCGCAGTCCTCAGTGCATTGGAAGCTGCAAAGGAGCATGGCTGTGGCTTCCCATCCAATCAGGAAGCCGGGCGTGTGGTCACATAACCACCTGCCAGTCTCCCTGCATCATTACTGCACCCCTGTTTGAATAGGTAAGGGACAGTTGAAGAGATGGGAATCCGGGATACCTCAGGTCTGTGTATGTATGTATGTATGTATGTATGTATGTATGTATGCGTACATACATACATATACAAATACACACAATATATATACTCATGTGTGTTTGCACTTTTATGTGCACACCCCAATGCAATAAGCTGCACACACCTATGGATATGCCTCTGGGGGTGACCCATCACAGCACCAAGGCTACTATACAAATCTGGTCTCTGAGAACTGCAACTTCCATCCAAAATGTCTCCCACTGTATTGTGTTTTGTGACAGGTTCTCTTTATACCTTAACTTTTACATCCATTTGTTTTCTTCTGAGGCAAGACAGAGGCAGAATGGAACATTTTAGCACACATATATGCAGAAATACCAGCAATGAAATATTTTTGGAAGACTTTTCTGTTTATTTGTAGCAACCACACAGTATATGCAAAAATGGTATAACCTTAGAATTCCTGGGTGACAATCCAACACATCAGTGATAAGCCCCTAAATTGTGTATTTATAGTATGAAATAAACTATATCAAACAAAGCTGTCAGATTTATCTTCACTGTTCTGGACCTCTTGACCTGGGACTGAATTGTAGAGGAATCCTTTGCTTCTACATCACTCCTAGTTGACTGTAGATTGCAGGAACAGATTCATCCCACTCAGCTAGGAAACATGTGCCAGCAACAGGACGTCCAAGTTTGTATTTATGGCGGAACTTTTGTGCCTTAAATTTTTCTCGCTTTTCAGCAGAGGTGTCACCCAGAATTGGTTCATCACATTTTAGTGGCCCGTGCTGTTTGTAGACAAGCACTGTGTACCTGTGTAGACCTGTATTGGATATCAAGAGACAAAATAATCTGAAGATTCGTTGTTGTTAGAATGAAAATCTCATCAATAAGAAGTATACAATCCCCACACACACATACACAGGGGTCTATGTATATAAAACATTGTCATAGCTTATTTATCCAGCAAAACTGAAGCTATATTCAGTCTGTGCAAGATAACCATCTGTTGTGAGAATGGGGCAAACATGAATGATATTGGTGTATTTTCTCTTTTGATCAAATGTTCTTCAATAGGTTCACTCATAAAGAACAATGAATCAGAAGAATACCACATCATGGCTACTACATGAAGCTGTGCTTGCAGCACGTTAAAGGGATGAAATATGAGGAAATGTGCATGTAGGGCAGAGATATAATGCACAAAAAAGGTTTTTTTTAAATATATATTTTTTTTAAATATATTTTGAACAGACACACACTTTTAAATCTTCAATTGGTTTCCTCTGTGTATTTGACAATACTAAATGTGCTGTATTTTGCAGATTAACACACCACAATGTACACAAAAAAGCCCCTGCACCATTTTTGTAAAGCAGTGCACTGCAAAAAAGACCATGCACACAGGGCCGGATTCACTCTCCCTGCCGCCCCAAGACCAGATTCCACAATAACTTTATTGCTATCACACACGAGCTAACAACACCTGTGTGATAGCATTTGGAGGTGAGAGGTTCTCTTTATTGACCCTGTCACCTCCACGATGAGAGTTCTAGCCCAGCACTGTGCTGGAACTCCTGTGACAGGTGAGAGAGGAAGAGCACAGCTCTCCCCTCTCGCTGTATACACGGAGCGGCAGGGTTACTTTTAACCCTGCCGTTTTGCTCACCACAATGGTGTGAGAGTGAGAGACTCAGCGGCGAAGCGAGGAGAGAGGTAGGTGTGGGGGGAGGGACGCGTTAATGAACAAGCGGCTTCACACTACATTTAGCCTTGCTTTCCCAAAGCAGGGCTAAATGTAGAAAATAACTTGCCGCCCGGCACCCGGAACTGCATGTTCCAGGCGTCGGAAGATTCAACATTGCTGCCGCCCCTCAGCTCCCTGCCGCCCCGAGGCCTGGCCTCGGTGGCCTTGTGGGGAATCCGGGCCTGGATGCACATGCTGTAGCACAAGTGCATTGCCATGTGTGTTGACATGCAGGGCCATCCCTATATTGAGGCAGTTGCCTCAGGTGGCATCTCATTGAGCCACTTGGGGGGGGGGCAGGGTTCTGTGTGTAAATATTCTAAAAAACCTTGTCTGTATATACAACACAGCATGTACAGAAGGGAGGCAGAGTGATTGCACACTGAGTGCCTGCTCTCTTTAGTGGCTGTTTGACAAATTTGACACACCAATGTAGGAATATGAGTGTGTAAAAATGTGGAAGTCACATAATAATTCCTTTAAGGTACAAGCTGCAATAATAAGCCAAAATATATGCTCTTTAAAAGTACAGTATATTTTCCTTTAGTTTTATTATTAGGTTAAATCTCAACTCCAGGCAAACAGCTAAAACACAGATAAATACAGATAAGAGAGGGGACCTGATCTTTGTCTGCTGCAGTTTCACTTTAACTTACAGGACGCCTCCTCACCCTCGCTCTGGACTGGACAGTGAAAGGAGGAGCAGCACATTGTTGAGCTTTCTCTGTTACTCGGCTCTCTTCTCCTATCTCTATGATCTTTGTACTGCCGAAAAGCCGATTAGCTGAATGCTTCTCTCTCCTACCCTCTAAGCTTTGCTGCAAAAGGACTGCAAGAGGCTGATTTCAAGTCAAATTCAGTTCACTACATTGATTGTATTAAAAAGAAATATCATGTAATAATAGAATGCAATTAAAGGTGCCATAAATAAAAAGGTCTGCCCTATATACTTCAATATTACTTATATGGTTCAGAAGCATATATATTGCTACTGGAGTCCACTAAATAATACATAATACGAGCAGCAATACTTAAAGGGTTCACAATACACAGGATTTATATTTCTTCTGCTTAGTCCTCATGCACACTATGTATAGGGATTCCTGCGGCACAAACCTGTAGATTGTTGCAGCAGGAATCCCAGGTGGGTCTGTACAGATGTGGCCCCTGTGTACGTTCAAGCAAATAGGCTGACAACAGTCACATCTGTCCATGGCTGGCCACATGTAATCATATATGGAACGATTACCTGCAGAACAGGATATTTGCTTGTCCATAGATGCAATCTGTCTGAATCCATGAACAAGTATCTATCCCGATCTGCAGGAAATCGTTCCATGTATGATTACATGTGGCCAGCCATGGACAGATGTGACTGTTATCAACTTATCATTCATATAAATGGGCACAGCAGCTGCATCTGTACAGACCCACCTGGGATTCCTGCCGCAAAAATTCACAGGTCCCTTCCACAGGAATCCCCAGACACACATAATAAACTTTGTGTACATTAGAGGTGCATCGAAATAGAATCTTCAGACCGAAAACGAAACTAAAACATTTGTCAGACCGAAACCGAATTTTTTTTTCTAACTTTTTAAAAATAATTTTACAAATATTTAACTTTTTTTTTTAGTTTTACTGTCAGGGGCTCTGAGGAAATATCAGGGGTCTAAACAGATTAAATAGAATGTTATAGAGTGTATAACATTCATATAGAGTGTTCCTGTCCATTCATAACATGTGGATATAGTATGAGTTACTATGTCCACAAACAGGAATGAACAGGAAGTGATGTCATTCATAATTGGGGACACAGTAAACATACTATGTCCTCATTTATTTACAAGCACTCAGCGATCACCTGATCACTGAGCGCTTATACTCCGCTCTCCATCCTCACCCACTGTCACAGAAGGCTGAGCTGGTGGTGCGGGGAGGAGAGCTACGCCTCCTGTAACATGGCTGACAGATGACTCCTCCCCCACACAGCCGACTCAGCCTCCTGTGACAGCTGTCTCCTCCCCACACTGCTCTCCATTCTGATCTGCCTGTCACAGGAGGCAGAGTAGGGTGGTGTGGGAGGAGAGCTCGGCCCCCTGTGACAGACTGCTGACAGCACTCTCTCCCCAGAAACAAGTAACATTTAACACTGGCATTGGAGTCTCAGCTTGAAGAAATGCATTTCATAATGTCATGTATGAGATGAAACTAACCTGTATCTTTGCCAGGTGCAGAGCCCACGTACTTGGTGAGTGTACAGCCACTGTTAAGGTCATTTCCTTTCATGTTTACGATTATACAGTGATGCCATTCCCTTGTAAGGAAAAAAGTCAGTTCAATAAGTCTGGAAAAATTCTGGAAGAAAGTTGGGTATATCTAAGAAACATAACATTTTTTTGTTTGTTTTTTTTAGTCAGATACTTTTTATTTTTAAATATTTTCCTCCAACAAACATGACATAGGGTTTTTTTTAGTTATGCTTCTGTATCATTTGATGACTATGAAGGTTTTAATGAAGACTGTGTGTAAATACCAGCCTTATAGAGACTCGATCACTTAGCAAAAGAGCTGCTAACAGGTATAAAGTGCAGACATCAACCTGCTGCAGATCTCAGTCCATTCTGCTATGCCCCAATGCTGGGATAACCTTAAAGGAGGCGTATGGGAGAGTAAAATTTACTTTTCCGAATACATACAGCCGGAATAGGACACTGCAACTGACACACGCCGGCTCTATAGATCAAGAAATTAATGATCATGTGACTGCTGATCGCTCAGCTCAATCTTCTCTCTGCAGAAAGAAATGAATCCACAGGGGTCCCCCCTCCCCTCTCTGCTCCTTCAGCACTCATTGGAGGGACAGACAGGGGAGGGGGGGGGGGGGGGGGACAGCG